CTTACGCATATCGTAGTTTTCAAATCGTCGAAATGTCTTGACAATAAATGTTGTCAAGTCACGATCAGAAGGATTACTGTAGTGGCGCTGGAAAGCACGCTTCATGAATCCAAACATGAACTCAATAGGATTGAAAAATGGGCAATATGCGGGCAAGAAAATCGGAACGACACCGGCACTACGAAGGTAGTGCACAATATCTGGGTGTCTGTGAATGGAAGCACCATCCAAAATCCACACAGAATTGGTCCAGGGTACTGGCGGACACATCCACGGTCCGAATGCAAGAACTCACGGCAGCAATGGGTAAATTCGAGTCGATCAAAAGTGCCCTCCGAGTCATAGTAGTCAATGACACCATGAACTCCAATAAAGGCAAGAACAGACAATATGGGCTTCCGAACAAAGTCACCTCGGATGGCAACGGACTCCCTCGGATCGAATATCCCCGTTTGCGAATCATGCCTCGGTTGTCGAACGAGACCTCATCGAGAAACACCAAATTCAGATGGTTCCTGTCAATGTGACTGATTTCTTCAGCAAAGCGAAATATGTCGGCCTCCTTTATGTGCATAGCTCGACGCTCGAGCACCTTCCACGTCAATACAAAGCTCTGAATGATTCGCCAGACAGATGCCTTCGAAATCACGGTCCGATGTACGCGTTTGAACTCGCTTTGAGCCTCGTCGAGGTAGGCCAGAGGGTTTCGGTCATAAAAGTCGAAACGCCATTGGCGCTGATCTGACGTGAACTTCTTCTCGACTGCAGTGGTTGCTCGCTGGTAGCCTCCTGTGTCCTCGAACACCTTGATCCAGTTTCCAATGGTTCGCTCCGACTTAGTGTATACGTGAGCAAGGTGTCTTCGGGAGAAGCCAAGTCTGTAGTACGCATAAAGGCAGTGATAGACCGTATTTGGGTGTGCATGCTGACGCGTAGCTACTTCTTCCATGACCTCCGACAGGAAGCGCGTAGCGCTGAAAACAGCTTATTTCTGGCAGTACTTAATTGGTCCAATATCAAAACAATTAGCCAATGAAAGCGCGCCGTCGATTCGTCGCCAGTTCCCAGAATGAGCCAAATCAGCCCTGCTGCTGGGATGCAGTCAGCTCTTCACGGGGACGAGTACCAGCGGCGGCCACCCCCGCCCTGTGTCGAAGTCAGCGGTCTTGCCCTCCGCGAGTTTGGCAAAGCTGAGGTCGGCATTGGTCCTGTTAGTTGTGGTCGAGCTAGCAAATTTCAGTGGAATTGACAATAAATGAGTGCCTCTTAAATTTGTCATATCTTTATTTCATCGACAATTTTAGTCTCATGGCTCTAGAATACAAAGGAAGTAATATAAACCGTTCCGATGGTCACACCTATGTTACAGTAATGGTAGCTCAAGGCTACAGTAACAATATAATCGTAGTACTATCGAATTGAGAAAAAAACTGCCTGGGATATCTTTATTTCGATCACTGTAGCACCTGTGCGAATTGTTGCTGCAGACACGGCAAAAAGCGCCATCGACTGTGTAACTTCAAGAAAGATATTTTCAAAACCATTGCAAAACCATGCCATGGCGATGTCCGGCTTCCCAATCCAGCAGCCCCGGCGCGCCGACGTGAAGCGATGCCACTCACCGGTAGCAACATCTCGCGCGAGAAAGTTTGAATCTCTCTCCCCCACCGACTGGCCTATCGCGCTGTGAATATAAACTGGTCTCTACAAGTTCCAATGGCTTGTGCTTCTGATGTTGGAGAGATGTCAGTGGACGTAGCAATGATACTTGCCAGCCCTTCCAACAAGGCACTTCAGAGCAAGGTTCAGTTTTCCATGGACAAGTTTGCCCTTCTCCGTGGAGTTGATGCAGCCGCTTTCTCACTACTACACATGGAACACCTCGTTGGTGCATTCTAACGAAGGAAAGCACAGCAATCATGGAAGCCAATCTCATGGCTGGACCGTCCATCCGCCGAGCATCGGACTCGAAATATCGTGTGAAATAAAAGGGTCACGGTCGATCTAGTCTCAACAGGACATGTCATTTGACTCGCCACTGGCGGTGCTGAATCGGTTGCTGGATTCCAGCACCACGGGCGAATGCCAACGTGACGCGGGCGGCGCAAAGGCAGCGCGCCCGGCATGTCGTGTAGAACGAACCCATGATGGCGATGAATTTGATCATTTCACTCAGCATTGTGTACGTCGGCGATCCGACGTGCCTCATTCCTGGCAACCCGATCGTGTCTGTGTGCTTTGTCAATGACTTTTGGATGCGCGTGACTTCGATGGGCGAAGTCATTTTGCAGCTGAGCCAACTCGACGATGTAGCCTCTTCAGATGCATCTGCGTGTATCGCGCGGTAAGTCGACACGACGACGCCGTCGATACGGTGATGGAACTGGAACGGTTGAGGTGTGGCTTGCGTACGTCACGATGCGATGCATGGCCCTTCCCAACAAGTGACGTCGCACCCAGTCGGTGGGTCATTTCCAAGAGCCATGGCGCATGCAGCCATCCTTGCATCGTTAACGAGCATTCGTGCTTGAAAGTGCAGTCGTGCACAAGGGCTAGAAGAGTCTTGCAAAGTTCAGTACGCCCCGATGTGATGGTGCATGTCGACACGGACGAATTCCACACCACATGCCTTGTGTGTGGCACGACCGCCGGTTTCATGTCGTTCATTCCGTGACTCTTCGATGGCCGTTTCAACGTCGCCACGACCGCCCGACGATCGTGCCGCCTCAGAGTGGACGATGGGAGCCAAGAAGGAGGTGGCGGAGTGGAGTGTGGTTCTAATGTGAAGCTTCAACGTGGTGTGGTCGCGACCAAAGCCGCGTGTCCATTCCAGGGCATTGCAGTCGCCACACACAGATGACGCATCGAGGCAAACAGCGACCCATTCATGGCCTTTCAAAGAGCCATCGGCGTCACCTGCCCGTTGTAGTTGTGACCAGAGGAGCAAGTCATCCCACTTAATGGACACTGCACACGACAAACGTGTTAAGTTTCCGTCGGAGAGACCTCCCAGTCCACTGAGATAACCACGAACGGAACGTATTCTGGAACGCTGGAAGACGTCGTTTCGACGATGTGTCATGCCGCGATGTGGACGCGCAGGTGTCCGTCGCCCTC